TTCGGAGTGTCTCATTGCTTGCTGCTATAATTTTCAGATGGAGATTATCCAACGGCTTTATGCGCCTCCTCCTCCGCTGGATATTCCGCTCAGTGTCGCCGAACAGAATAATCTCGCCTTAGTTATGGCTCATGGAACAGCTTGTGCGCGTGTTCTGAATGGTGCGAGGCGTCGTCAACTGTCCCGTTTGTCACAATGGTTGCAAGCTTTGGAATCAGGAAGTTCACCGCCAGTAGAGGCACTCATGATTTGGCCACAAGAGTTAGCTGATTTATGCAAGCTGGTCTTATCACTAGGTGCTGGAAAACTGGATCCGAGCGTTTTACGTGCCACGGAGGAGACATTGAGATTGGCCTGTCATCGTCTGTCGGACGGTGCGGAGCTGCCACCGATTTCGTTGTGTTCTGATGAGCACTATGTGAAAACAGCTTTAGGTCAGTGCCGGTTTCCTACATCGCTTGTTGCTATGGTGCCGATCTTCGTATTTTATGACCTACCATGTGCTCTTGTTATCCGTCACGTAATGAATCCCACTGAGACGCTTCTCTACTAACGTACCTTCCTGAGTAAATACAATTTTCACAAATGAATTTCGATGAATGTTATCAGTGCACACTAAGTTTAGTCGCTTTGTTGAGAATAAGTCAGAGTCTACTCAAAGCAACTGTGATCCCTCTCAGTCATTCGTATTCGCTCTAGGAAGAGAGGAGCAAGAATCTGAATCCAATAAACAGACGACAGTGGCCAAGCGGTTTAAGTCATCCAAATACCTCCCCGGAGGTCGTGTATTGGAATCCGGCCACCACCGCCGTTTTACGTATTACCCCAGACAGAGTTGAATTGGTCACCGCTCCCTTCATAAAATCTGTTTGTACAAATGTATGCGAACAAAATGAAAAGAAACATTTTTTGCTGTTATGTATCAAGCACGAAAGGGCGGGATTCAACGGCTTCAGTCGTTAAGACCAGGCTAGGTATTCTCGTTTGGGTCCACCGTTCTGTTCAGTTGGCATATTCAGACAATAGACCGTATGTTGAAGTGAAGCCCCAATCAATTTTGCCATTTTTTATTGCATACAGAGGGGGCATAAGCCCCATAGTCACGAGGACCCGCTGTTCAGTGGTGGAAACCGACAACCTAAGCCCAGCGGGACTTGAAGTGGCGAACCACATAAAGCCCCGATAGGTTAGGTGTGGTATTCAACCGGACGACAACAGAGCTGCCTATCAAGAAAGTCGGATGGCGGTGGCGGGGATCGAACCTCGGACCATAGGGTCCTAAGCACGCCGGTTACAGCGACTAAACCACTGCGCCACCACCACTAATGATTCCAGCCGTATGCATATCCACTCTCACTTTCCCGATGGGACCATCAAAACGCTTGTGCCAGGATTGCAATTTCAAAATAACTTGTTTCACTGTGACTAAGAAAAAGTGTCTGTAAAAAGTCTGCGAATACTCATTTTAGGTAAGTGATTGGAGTATTTGTCCTTTGGATACACGCAACATATATACAGGACTCTATTACGCTCTCTAGAACACAGAAGTGAATTGATCAGTCAGGTACATTTACTCTTCTGATAATTTATTCTTCCGGTTTGTGCTATCACGTGGTCATCTTTTGCCCAATCATTTTACAGAAAAAATGAACATTGGCACTCCAGACGCTTCGTGTGGCAAAACAGGGATTCATTTGCGACGTGTATGTAGTCAACTGGAGGAATATCGATCCGGTACGATTTCTGGACTGGTTCCAACCAAGCGGCGTTTGAGCAGTCCGAATGCAGTGTGCACAGACATTCATGCCAAATTGCGCATTCAATCGTCGTCGATTGATGGTGCATGGGCGCATGGTGAGCCTCGAGTCGTTCTGACGGAGGAGGCGTCGTTAAAACTGTCAGAAGATAATTTAGATGATTGCGCAGATGATGTCTACAATTCCCATCAACCGGAACGAGATTTGAAAGTTGTTTTAACTAAGTTAGATTTTGAAACAGAAGATTGTCAACGTTCTGCCGAAGGCCCCCAGGTTCCAAAAGAAACCACTTCGACTTCCACCACTGTCGAAGATGAAGAAAAAACACCAGAGAATGGCGAAGAATCACTTAGTTTCTGGCATTATTTATGGTCTGGACTAGCCAGTGGCGATCAAAATCCCTTGCCACATAAGGTAATTGTTGTTCATTTTTTCCATCGCAGCTTTTATTACTCAGGTCTGTAAACTATTGTTCTGGTGCCATCGCGCCAATAAATTGAGGATCATTTGCTTTTTCATGACACTTAATCTGACCTATTGAGATACTGAATCCTAAGGACCTACCACACATTTTGGCATTTTAAGCCATGGAATTGGTACTGGGTGTTGCCTAAAGTTTTGGATAAACTAGACTTGAATCATTCGTTCGGTTGCAATAAATTGAGAACTACATGCAGCCTCTTTCCATCTTGACTTTCCACCTCACTGCTATCTCGTATTGCTCGTTTAACGTTTGTAGCATGGAACACGATGTCGAAACTTTCGCGGCTACGAAACACCATTTTTTNNAGCAGCAAGCAATGAGACACTCCGAAATCTTCGGCAGAACATGAATACTGTACGGTCATTCAAACGTGAATCACTACTCTGAGAAGTGACACCTCATCATCACTAGTTCCAACGCCACCTTATACCGTAGAAAGGTATGAACGTATTTCCATGAGGCGTTTTGCTTAGCG